GAAAAGTGCATCGGCAAAGGTAGGTTCTAACTGTTCTCACCAAGGTCAGGCCCCCAAGGTGCCCCCATTATAGGGACCCTTCAATCTCCCAGTCTTTGAACCATGCACGGATGTTCGTGTCGACGTTCTCAGACCGAGAAAAAGAAAGTTATCACCTTGAGTGATGGTTTCCGACAACGACCTGTTGGCACTAGGGTCATTACCATGGTCGGCCGTACCTACCACCCACTCCCTATGTGTATTCTCTCTTGCCCCCGGGTATAGAGGGACTGTAGTGTGCAAGGGTTGTGTACAATTTATTTCAGACAATTGCAGAAAATAAGCATACAACAATTATTAAAGCCAAACAGTAAAGCATGTTATAAAAGCAAGAAAGGGTAAAAACGTAATTTCTAGTTTTTATTTCCTAAACTAGTCCATCACTAAATGGGATCAACTCTCTAGCTTCCCCAGTGGAGTCGTCATCTGTCGCTGCCGTCAGATGAGGCAGTCGGAGTGACGCGATGGTTTTGATATGACTCGCGTTTTCTTTGAAAGAAACAGTTCAACACCTTTAGGTCGTCCGATAACCGGGCTGGACCTAAAGGCGAGGTTTTCGAATAGGTTCGAGGAGTCATCATCAGTGTTTTAACCTTAAACACTGAAAAAGGTAAAAAAGAAAAAGGCAGTGGTTTTAGAAAAAACCAACTTTGGCCATTACAACCAGAGTCGGGTAAGGGAGTTAGTTACGTGTGGGGAAGGTGTTAGCACCCCCACAACGCCCCTTTCGGGTTCCGTATGATGGACTAACTTAGAAACTAAACACTTAAAGAAATTAAATTTTTACCCTATTATTTGATCTACTTGCAGAATTTAAATATCTACATGGCTCTATTATCTAATGCACACAAAGAAAGCGATAAAGAAAGCAGTAAAGAAGATAGAGAATAGAGAAGGAACCTCCGAAGCGAGCTTTATATTAACTCTTCGAAAACGTGAGGACACTTTTTGGCAGTCCCCACACTCTACAAACACGCTCCTCCCGCAAAATAAAGAAAAGTCACTCTACCGAGGGCCGGATGTCTCAAAAAGAGACTTCCTTAACCGATTTCAACTTTAATGGAAAGCGGAAAGCTCCCTTGAACCCCGGAATAATGCTCAGGGTCACTCTCAAGTGCCAAAGGCTTCCAAGAGAGTGGAGGAGTGGGAAAGGTGTGAAAGAACGGAGAAATGAGGCCCCTATTTATAGGGATCCAAGCCTGGAAAAGGTGGACGGCCATTTGGACAAAGCGGACGGCCGTCCATGGCAAAAAGTGACCATGGACGGCCATCCATGCAGTGTGGACGACCGTCCATGGCAACTTTTGGCCATGGACGGCCATCCAAGCTAAGTGGACGGCCGTCCATGGCCTTAAAGTGGCCATGGACGGCCATCTGCTTGTCCTGGACGGCCATCTGCCTGTTCTGGACGGCCATCCGCCTGTTCTGGATGACCATCTGCTGTCTCCGGCGGATTTCCCGATTTTTAATGCCTCTAAAAACCCTTCCTATCCTAAATGGAACCTAGAACAAGCTACTAGAGACTTGATAAAGTCTTAACCATTTTCGAAACGGGCGATCTTCGGCTTTACTAGGGGGCCGGGCAAGATTTGGGGTCTACAGATCTCAATCTTAAACTTCTACCAAATCAGGGGGAGCCTATACCTAATCCTAAGCAATATAAAAGATTGATTGGAAAATTGAATTATCTTACAGTTAGTCGTCCTGACATTTCTTTTGCAGTCAGTGTTGTAAGCCAATTTCTTAATTCCCTATGTGAATATCATTGGAATGCAGTCATTCTTATCTTGAAGTATATTAAAGGATCTCCTAGAAAAGGATTGTTATATGGTTCTAATAACCATACAAGAGTTGTTTGCTACTTAGATGTTGATTGGGTAGGATCTCCTTTGGATAGAAGATCTACATCTAGATATTGTGTCTCCATTGGTGGTAACTTGATCTCATGGAAAAGTAAGAAATAAAGTGTTGTGGCAAGATCTAGTGCAGAAGTAAAATATAGAGCTATGACCTCAGCTGCCTGTGAACTTGTTTGGCTCAAGTAATTGCTTAGAGAGTTACAATTTGAAGATGTCACTCAAATGACACTTGTGTGTGACAATCAGACTGCTCTTCATATTAGCTTTAATCCTGTCTTTCATGAGAGGACCAAACACATTGAGATTGACTGTCATTTCATTCGAGAAAATATTATGTCTGGAGATATCAAGACTGAGTTTGTTAACTCAAGTGATCAGTTAGAAGATATTTTTACTAAATCTTTAAGGGGGTCTAAAATTGATTATATTTGTAACAAGCTTAACATATACGATTTGTATGTTACAGCTTGAGGGGGAGTGTTAGATATTGTTTAGGTATTGTTTAGATATTGTTTGATATTGTTAGATATTGTTAACCACAATATCAAATAATATCTTCTGTTTATTCTATTACTTTCAATTACTCTTTTAGTTGTACCTGTCTACTATAAACAGATTATCCTATGCGTGGTTTATACATAAGGGAGATTAATCTCAAACTCTATTTTCTCTATATTTAACACATAGCAAAGAATCATACAGTTCAAGCACATGCGTCCCAACTTCAAATCACCATTAAATAGGGATAGGAGGTGGTCGTGATCATGTATTGTTTAGCGTTTGTATGCAAGGTGAGTGGCTTAGAGAGGTGGAGAACATCGATTCTAGGTGAGAGAACCGATTATTGGTTCATAAATAATCGATTCTTTAAAAAATGATAAAAGAAGAATAGATTTTAATTTCCTGTACGGAGAATCAATTTTCCATTTCGAGCCATTAAGCTTCCAAATTCACTGGTTAACTTCATTTCAACCATACATGCAGTTGCAAGCATGCCATTGCTTTTCATTGATGGTCCAAAGATCCATCATTTGAGTAATGGTATGTGTGTACCTAGGTTGCTGCATGCCTTCTGCTCAGTTTGGTGGTAAGGAATCTATTGTTACTTAAAACATATATTACTCCTAAAATGAGTTATTCTTTGCAAAAATTTGCTCAATGCAAGACCCTGAAAATTTTCAAATTTGATTGCTGCACTGCATATTGATACATCTCTTCTAATTTAATTTGCCCAAGGACCAAGAAGAACATTCATTGATCAGAAGCATACTCGTACGTAGAGAGCATTCCCAATCAAAATAAATTTGTCCGAGATTATCATGAGGAAAGGCCAAAAATGGAAACTAGATGAATTAATTTTCAATAATTATATTTTATTTTATTATAAATTTATATATTTAAATTTTTATGTTTTAAATAATATATCATATATAATTTTAACATTATTTATATCAATTATATTTTACACTAAAAAATATTTATTTAAGAAAAAAATAAAATTATAATATTACAATTTTATTAATCAAATTTTAATTTTTTAATTTTTCAATTCATATACATCATTTACATACTCTTTAACCAATTTTCCTTTAATCTAAACAACCCTATCTTTACATATCTTTCTCTTCAAAATTCACTTATTTCCACACTCTCAAATTTATTTCTAATCCAAACACAGAAATTATTTCATGAGTACTCTATAAAAAATTATTATAGAAGGTTTAAACGTATTTCCTAATTAATAATATATAAAAGATAAAATATGTTTTTCATATGATAACTATAATAAATATTGTATTTAATATAATTAAAATGTTTTTTATGGTTTTCATACACTACTAAGGACTCTAATAAGTTTTGAATGGTCATTGTTAAAAAAATATTTAGTTTTATGTTATGTTATTAGGTTATGTATATAATGATGCGTATGCGTTTAATTAAAAAGAAAAGTTTAATTTCATGAAAAATTATGACAGTAAACTGTCAAAGTTGTTAGGCTTCCAGGAATTTTCCTTTAATAAATTTTGGATAATATGTGATGAATTATAATATTCTATTTGATGACATTTAAATTTATACTTGTAAACATACACCTTATATTATAAAAATAATAATTTCTCTGACCAATGATAAATTAAAAATTTAATAGAATAATTAATAATATATGAAAATAAAAAAATGATTGTAATATAAATATAATTTATCTACATATGAATTATTGTGAAATGTCATGGAATAAAAGGACATGGAATATATTGAAGGAAACTTGTGTCTCATTGCTTGTTGGCCGACCAAAGTGAGGATGGAGTTATGACAAACAGATGAGACCATAAAAAGGAAGAGAAGTTTGGTGATTATGTGAAGCAACCGGCCACAACTATAAATACATTATGTCCCTTTCCCTCTTTCTCACATAAACTCTCTTTGATTTTTCAGCCATTACCTTTCAATCTCCAACAATAATAATTTGTGATTGAATGACACTGTTATAATATTCTGCATAACATAGCAGTAACTTTCTAAGCTATTTTTGAACATATAATTTTTATTATTGTGTATTATAGTTTTTAAGAAATTTTAACCAATACTAAAAATATATTAGAAAATAGGGAAACCAACTGACAGATGCTGAGGAGAAAAAGAATTGGTCATTTTCTAATAAACAAATTGTACATAGTGTGTGTCACTGTTTCAAAACGATAGATTCTTCAAAAGATGACAAGTAACTAAAAAGCCATAGCAGAATGAACTTTTTAAGAAACGCAAAACTATTATAAACAAAGGAGGAAAAAGTTGCATGGCCATTGTTGAACTGGCAATTCTTAAATTTATTTTAAAAGTAGCATGCAATGCATATTAAATTACAAACCATGTACAATCAAGTTTTACTCCCAGGCTAAGAGAATCCAGGTATTATTCTTCAATAATACCTATGTTGAATGTTTATTATGTATGTATGTTGCAAGCTAATTTTGAAGCATTAAAATACAATGTATGATGTCTCATTGAAAAAGGCTAACTGCCTTATGAGCAAATAGTGACTGAAGTCATAAATCACTCTTTGCCTGTCTTTTCTTCCAGGTTTAAGCACCACAAGTAACAATGGGAGACATAAACAGGTGGCTATTGTCGTCTTATTTGAATGAAGGTGTTAACCATGATTATGCCATCCGAAGGTATTGTCCTGCAAGAATGGAGCAAGAGCAAGGAGGAGAGTGCCAAGATCAAGAGGGAGTAGTTTTTGATGATACTGAATTATGTTCTTCTGATGCTACCTGCAGCACTCCTTGTTTGGCTTCATCTGAGGTTGATGACTTTGTTGATAGCTTTATCAACATGGATCAGTATGAGTATGAGAAAGCGGATCAAGGGTCCCAAGAGAAGCATCAAAGTTTTGGCCACTTTGTGGTAAATGATGATGAGGATGAGACTGATGCATACTCCTTGGTGAATGGTATCTTTGGATATCTTCCAACCACCATAGAGGATTCAGAATTGGAAATCTATGAAAATCTCACAACATCCATGTTAGAGGAAGAGGTTGCAATGAGTGGCTCTTTTGGTCCTATACCTGACTTTGTGCCTTGTGCACAAGAGGCCAACCTTGGTGTGGACCAAGGGTTAGACTTGGTTCACATGCTGCTGGCCTGTGCTGAAGCTGTAGGGTGTAGGGACAACCAGCAGGCAGAGTTGCTGCTTAGCAGAATTTGGGCTTTGGCAAGCCCTTCAGGAGATGCACTGCAACGAGTCTCCTACTGTTTTGCCACAGGATTGAAGTGTAGGTTGTCACTTCTTCCTTATCATGTCATTGCAAATGGTACACTTCCAAGTACTTCCATGGATATGCACTTAATCAACAGGGAGAATAAGCTGGAAGCATTTCAGCTTCTTTACCAAACCACACCTTACATTGCCTTTGGTTTCATGGCTGCAAATGAAGCCATATGCCAAGCATCACAAGGAAAGAGCTCAGTACACATTGTTGATTTTGGAATGGAGCATACCCTTCAGTGGTCTTCCCTGATAAGGGCCCTTGCTTCAAGGCCTGAGGGGCCTCCAACGCTCCGGATCACCGGATTAACCGGCAATGAAGACACCTCTAAACTTCAAACTACCATGAATGTGCTTGTGGAGGAAGCAAGCTCAATGGGAATGCATCTTGAATTCCAGACAATTTCTGAGCCTGTAACTCCATCTATTCTTACTATGGAGAAGCTGAACTTGAGAAAAGGTGAAGCTTTATTTGTTAATAGTATCTTGCAGTTGCACAAATATGTCAAGGAAAGTAGAGGCTATCTAAAGGAAATTCTCTTATCAGTAAAAAGGTTAGGTCCAATTGCTCTTACAGTGGTAGAGCAAGACACAAACCATAATGGCCCTTTCTTCCTTGGGAGATTTTTGGAATCACTTCACTACTACTCAGCCATATTTGATTCTCTTGAGGCATGTATGCCAAGAAATAGCCAACATAGGATGAAGATAGAGAGATTACACTTTGCAGAGGAAATTAGGAATATAGTAGCTTATGAGGGTCCAGATAGAATAGAAAGGCATGAAAGGGTAGACCAATGGAGAAGACAATTAGGCCGAGCAGGATTTCAGGTGATGCCACTGAAGTGCACAAGTCAAGTTAGAATGATGCTTTCTGTTTATGACTGTGATGGATACACATTGTCCAGTGACAAAGGAAACCTTCTTCTTGGATGGAAAGGAAAGCCAGTAATGATGTCTTCTGCATGGCAAGTGGCAAGTGGGTGATTTTCCCTATTAAATAGTCAGAAGAAGCAAGGAGAATAACGCTCATGTTCTTATTCACGGGAATACTATGTTTCTTTAACAACTAATTTGATGAAATTAGTCATATTCTACCTAATCTTCTGCATATTTCCTCACTGAAGATACAAAACTTTACTAGTATGTTTTGAGTTAGCTATTTATGATTGTACTTTCTGACCAAGGAATTCAGTCCTAGAATTCATATGAAATGTTTATGAAAAGGAAAGGATCTAGCCAGTTTCCTGAGGCCATTCAACCTTACCAAGAAATCTGAAATCCACTTTTCAGTCTTTACATCACTTTAAGCATGCCCAATGCAAGAATTTAGTTATTGATATTTAATGAGTCAGTAATTATAATTTTGAGTGAATTGTATTTCTTTGAAATTTTTCACTTTTCCCCCTCTTACAGTTTTTTTTTTTTCATATGAAAAAATAAGTGCAAATGCTTGTAAATTTTTTTCTGAAAAAAAGCAGATAAACACCACCTCAACATTTGTTTTTTCCAATTTACTAATATATTCATTAACTATGATATCATGATTCCTCATATGGCCTGGAGGGATAATTTTTATCAAGTTCAAATCAATACTTTTTTTTTTTCCAATTTGGTTATGTTAAAGCAAAAAAAAGAATGCCACTTTAATAGAGTTGAATAATGACATCATTATCATTTTAGTATTCAAAACAGTTTGTCTTTGCTTACATAACAGTACATACATGGTTTGACACATTCACCGTTTTACATTGAGCAAGAAAAAGAAGTGAAAGGGGATGATGATCCATAAAATTGCATCACGAATATACCATTGTTGTAATACAATTAAAAGAATAAATTATAAATTCAGGGCATCAGATTCAGATCAATTTCATGAAGCCTGGTCTGAGTGTAGGATCAAGAGTCTAACTCAGCCATTATTCCAAATATTATCTCCACAGTAATTTCTTCCATCTTTCTACTCATTCCTTAAAATTAGAAAATTTGTTACAAAGCCGCAATGTCTTAGATGCACAATGAACTCAGGATTTTTAGTTAAAAACACTTAAAAGAGAGAGGATAAAACAAATTTATAAAACTTGAATAAATTGGATAGATTCTGATATGGATAGATAATCAAATTTTTTTTTTATATTTTTAAATATTTTATACATGAGTCTTTAAAAAAATAGCCATGAAAGAAGTTGTAAGTGTTCTTCAAGTGAGAAGATATATTTTTTTTCCTATGCCTTGCACCTTTCGATCGAAATCATCATGTTGCAAACAATGACAGCACATAGAAACTACAGTAGCACATAGATATTGGGATTTAATTTGTGTTTAACATTGAAATCAATCAACATATACAGTATCTGCTGAAATAATTAACAATAACATAAATATAAATATTTGTAGAGCACAAAATATATAAATAGAAGAAAATTACAGAATTGATATTATCAGAAATGACATTGATGTATAAAGTTAAGAGTTATTAATATTTACATATATGTTAAAGCTAAGAATTGTTGAAAAAAAATTTTAAAAGACACTTAAAATAATGTGTAAAAAAAAAAAGCAAAACAAAACACAATTGAAAGGAGATAAAAAAATTTCAGGCACTACATTGTGTGAGAAATGAAAATCAAAAGTACATTCAAATGAGGTTGCTTCCGCTTTGAGATATCTAGCAGATCAGTAAGCTGCCCTTTAAACGAGTAATACCAATTATCTATAATAAAATCATTGTTAGAAATTACAAGATTGGAAGACCAAGGAACAAGAAAGTCATCGTTCAATATACAGAAACTAAATGACAATTTTTTGCTCTTGTATTTAAACATTGGTATACAATTTTGCATAGTGTAGTATTGGATTATTATGGTAAGAAGAAAAAACTACAGTAGATAGAACCACCCTTCTATAAGTTACTTGGTTGGAGCAGCATTAAATGACAGTATGAATGGCAACTTTACAATGTAGAACTCATTTAGAAGTTTTATGGCCCTGTGTTTTGGTTTGGCTTGCTGCTGCAGACATTATGCGCAAACGACTGGCGATTTCCGTGAAGGATGGTCTGACTGCAGGATTGGGAGCCCAACATTGTTCCATTAGTGTTCTCCATTCAGGATCACAATTACTTGGGATTGTTGGTCTTAATGTGTTATTTACAATCCCACCTGCAAAGAGAGACACTTATAAACGAGTAAAGAAAAAGCTTAACTGTAAACCAAAATTAGTTTATATGTAATTGAAAAATAGGCTTTTGAATAAATTATTAGTGTAAGAAAGTTTGTCCAAATCACCTTGTACATAAGTTAATTTTAACTTAGAGAAACTAACTAGCAAAAAATTTAATGAGAAACTAATCTCATTTTTCTTTTATTCTCCTAAAAGTACTTATAGAAAAATTTATCTAAACAGACCCTTATTAACCTATTTGTTTGGATTTCAAAAGTGTCACAGATGTGTGTAACTATCATAGTGGATTAAAGTGAGGTGTTGCTGTAGAATGAATTGATTTTGTGAGAAGAAAATACACAAATTCTATGTTGAGTAGAATAGATTGTAGGGAAGGAGAGCTTACGATATTACCTATAATTGCACCATAGTGCATATTGGCATATGGCTCCTCACCAGTAAGAATTTCCCATAATACTATGCCAAAGGAGAACACATCAACCTACAGAGACAAGGGAGAGCAGGGTAACAAACCAGAATGTATTTGAAGAATAACATTCCCAAATACTAGTGATATGTAAATTCCAATATCCCATTTGAACAAAATATTTCAAAGGTAGTAAGAGTATGAAATAAGAGAATTTAAATGCTCAAATAAAACAATTCTACAGGAACATCCTGAAAACCAGAGTACTGTAAACTGATAAAGAGAGTTTTATTGTCATGTTAGATGACGGAAATTTCAATATATATATACTAGACCTCATTTCCTTAACTAAATTTCAATTCTGAGTCATGTGATCGGAGGAAATCATTTTACATAGATAAGTTCAATATTACCTTTTCTGAGACCTTATTGCTGCTGCCATTCAGAAGCTCTGGTGCCATCCAAGGTAGTGTCCCACGCACACCACCAGTAACCAAAGTATTTCGCTTAATTTTTGATAAGCCAAAATCACCAACCTGGTTAAAATAGATTTCTTAGTCAACACAAAAATGTGATATTTCCTGCTGATAGAAAAATACTACCAGACCCAGTCTACATACCTTGCATATTGGACGTAAGGGATCTTTCAAATTTACAAGCAAATTGTCACATTTTAAGTCAAAATGCACTATGTTTTTTGAGTGCAAATATTCCATTCCAAAAGCTGCATCCATTGCAATTATCAGCCTCTTGCGACGGTCAAGATACCTAAAAAATAAAATCATGCTAAGATTCTTAAACTAAAGTCATAAAAGAACTGCACATGAAATTCAACACTCAAATGCTCTTGCAGACACAATAAACTTTATTGGAACCCATCACACATGATTATACCGAATCATGAAGTTATCCCAATAAATATTCATGCATTCCATTCAAGAAATAAGTTGTAGTAGGACACCTCTCGTTTCATCAAATTTGAGGCAGTAGTAAGCCTTAAATCTAATGCACTATAATAGAGATGCAAAATCTATTTTCAAAAGCATTACCTATCCTTGCGAAGTAACACGTGCCTAAGAGAACCATCCACCATATATTCTGCCACAGTGGCCATAGTACCTCCTGGTCCATGCTGTACCACACCATAAAATGCAACCACATTTGGATGATGAAGCTTGGAAAGAATGTCAGCTTCCCGCCAAAACTCTACAGTCTGAAAAAAGAAGCAAATATCATCTCACTTCAAAATATATCATGATTAAAGAAATTCAAATAATCATGACAGAAAGAAGCTTTTTCTTATTTTATTTTAATGAAAACAAAAAATAGTGGATCCTATTCAACATCCATTGAATAAGAGATTACCAATCTCTCTTGCTCAGATGATCGACCCGTGAAGCAGCTCTTCTTTATTCTTTTAATAGCAACATCTGTTCCTCTCCATTTTCCATGATACACAGTTCCAAAGGTTCCAGAACCTAGTTCTCGCAGCTCTTCAAGATCTTCATTCTTGATGACCTACCAATTCGCATAAAAAACAATTAAATCAATGAAGTAATGAACTAAAGATTTGCAGGTCAGCTCTCTAGCATGATATATCGTACACTTTAAAAATTTGTTAAATTATCATTCATATATATATATATCAGATAATAACTTGTCTATAAAGGCAATGAGAATTTACATGTCAAAGAAGCTCAATATTTTACAAATTTTGTGGCACAGAATGCCAGACTCCAATTAGTCCACATGAGAAAAAATATGTAGTGCAGTGATGAGGAGAATGATGATGTAACATGTAACCGGTGCATTTTTAATTTCTGTACAGGTGTAATTAGATTTATTCCTTCATTAGGATTAGTTGGTCAAGGTTTCCTTGTTCGTGGTAATTAAGTCTGATTTGATATCCATAATTCTAGCATAAGCATTTATAATCAAAGTTGTATAAATAGTGATCCTTGTGCTCTTTAAATTATCAGAAAATGACATTCACTTCTCCTCAAGTTCCAAGTTGGTATTAGATTGCTCAGCCTTGAGGGCTCTGCTTCTGTGCTAAAACCCTAGCCGTCTTGTTTGGAAGCTGCCTTGATTGCAATCACCCCTAGCCTGCCTTAGTTAAGGTATCTTTGGGAGCTGCCTTAACTGCAGGCTCATGGGGGTTAGATTAGTCCCACAACAACTATAAGTATGGCTTAAACAAGCTTATAAAGTTGGGACACTGGTTTCATGGAATTAAGTTAGGCCCTCAGATCTTCCCTCCAGCTAGCTTAGGCAACCTTCATTGTAACCATTGTCTTCGATTCTTAAAATGAAAATTGGGAATAATGCTTATCAGCCAACACAAAATTACTTTCATTGTCTGCTACGTGCACAACCTTGTGCTCTATAACCTCAACAAGACAGTCCAAAGCATAAATAGCTTTTCCCCACGGTTCACATAAGTAGATGCATAAACTATTTTCACCAACATAGAACTGGTAAGACATTTCACTAAGTGTTGGAAATCCCTCATTACTTGCCTTATGTCATGTAGTATGGTTTAAATATGTGTTAGGATACTCCACATATTGCCAATTGGTTTTATGTTGGAACCTTAACATGGTATCAAAGTCAAAATCTAACTTTTTTCCGATTATTATCTTGGGTCAAAAGTTGCCCTTCGTTATGGGTCAAAAATACCCCTTGTCTACTATGGCAAACTTCTTTGGAGGGGGCGTCTTGGAAGTCCCACATCGCCTGCCTCATATCATGTGGTATGGTTTAAATACCTGTTAGGCCACTCCACATATTGCCAATTGGTTTTATGTTGGATCCTTAACACTAAGAAATTGATCAAGGTTCTAATTTACTATCTGTCCATGCATCAGACAAGACATTACTGAAAAAATAAAACCTTCCAAAATTATGGATGTTCAGTTGTGTGGATAAGAAAAATAAAACAGTATAATTTCTTTTGTGACTGTCCAACTGGTTCAATGTTTGCTAAGACGGGATAAGTTATTTGAATTAAGAGTTGTCATGCTGAAACCCCAAAACCCATGCACCTACATGGAAATATCCATGTCTGGGGATGTTACAGTTGTTTTGAAACCCAAAATTACTAGTCGAATTACCTTCTCCCTACATTCATTATCTAAATGGTGTTGCTCCCTCTTAAACCTACATGAATCAAGTAATCTTGCTGTCTCAACCTTATTCTCTAATATGTTGCACCATTCCACTTCTAGTTCTTGATCTAAAATGTTGACTTTCGGTAATTGAGAAAGTAGTGTAAGGACTGGATTGACCTCAAGAAATATCTCGAGCACTGTATTGCTTCCTAGGGGGTTACCCAATAAAACCCAGTTCTTTCTCACTGTTATGATACCATTTTTATCAATAGAACTGGATAAGGAAAAATATAAGACATGAAAAATAGATGAAGAAAACAAATTGTGTATCATTAACAGAGCCAAAATTACAGTAGTTCACACGGTATTCAACAGACCCTGACCTCTCCCCACTCTCTAAGTGTTCAAACCTGTCTAAAAATAATAAAATAGATTCCTATTTCGATCCTTTCTTATTTATAGGTAACATGCCTCATTCAACCTATTACTGATCCTATAAGAGAAGAGAAAGCCAAGGTCTGCAAAGTATTAAATGTTCTTTGAAAACTAGGATAGACTTAGAAGATAAATATTGCAAGATCTAATTGTTGCCGTGACAATTAGATCAACAAGAGTGTTGTTTCCAAGTCCAGAATGAATGGATCCAGATCCAATCAACTATTACTACCAATCCACACTTCTGAAATCTGAAGAGTGCAACTCAAATTATGTAACCACAATAATTAAAGAAGTAATTAAGAACCAAGCTGCAATGCGTCATATTCAAACATTTGTTATTAGCATTAATGGACTTACATATAGATAGATGACAAAAGACAATTAAGCATATGTTATCAACAGAGATACAACCTTGTTTATACAAAAGACATATATTATAATATTGTAACCAGATTAGAAAATTGTCATATTTGTGAATTGCATCAAAGCAATACTCATACCATTATCTAGTAGAGTATACTTGGGTTTTCTCTAATAGTTATAGTTATTCCCACATGTTAATATATACACTAATAATCCATTTACACAAGTCAGATAATCAGTAACTAGCTTTCCAGCAGGTGAAAGGCTTTTAGGAAGTGCAACAGAGGCTTCAGTTTGCCCAAAAATATAAAAAACATGTTCCATGTATAAAAAAATTACATAAGAAATGCAGCATCTGTAAGAACAAGATTTTACCTGCACAGTGTCAAGTGGTGGAGGTAGGTTGCTATTTTTTGCATCAAATTTGCCATCCTAAGTTGAAGCAAAGATCTTTCATTATTGGAAAAGAAGATCTATGCAAAACCTCAAAACAAAAAGCAAAAAATAAAAATAAAAATAAAAATTGAAATAGTACCTCAAACTCTGACCCTTGCATTCTTATATTTTCCATCATAGCATCAAATTGCATACTCTCATTGTCCTTAAGCTGGGATTGATTATAATTAGACTTCAGAACAGTAGCTTCAGTTTCAATCCTTCTATGTAAGTCCTCTGGATTTTCTTCATTAAAATTGAGATGAGAATCTTCCCGATGTTGGGGATCTCCATCAGTTGTTAGCGGCATAACATGATGGGTTCTATTATCTCCTGCCTTTCCTATCACGGGTGAAAAATCAAGATGATCCTGATCAATAAGAGAGACACTGTCAAGCCCTTGTGCTAATTTATGAAAATATGACCATCTTTTCGGTTCATGATTTTCCATATTTATGCTTAAGCCTACTCCATCTCTGGACAGTGGATGCAAACTGGAGGGATCTTCCCCAAGTATTGCTTTAGAAAACATATCAGACAGCAATTCCCGGGGAAATCGATCATCAATATCAATAAGAATGTCCCCTTGTGATTGTTTGGAAATAACATTTGGTGGGAAATCTTGATAAACATCTTTGGTTACATTCCCAGTTACAGATACAGGTACTTCTTGTACCGTACAACCATCATTAGATTCCTTCCGTGAGGCTTCACCCCAATCAATATCTGGAAGATTGGATGCTAGATCATCAAGACGCTTAGCAGATGAAACATGATGCAAAGCAGGAAGATCTGACTTACCTTCTTTGGTTTTGGTCTTGGTTTCAGTTTCATCAAGAAAGGGCTTGGTTTGGCTATCTTTACGATAATTTTCAGTTTCAACATCTTTAGTTCCTTCATTGCTTGGCAACGCTGGCTTCAACTCAGGGTCTGTGCGCTCAGATAGTTTTGAATTAATCAGACTGTTTGTATCAGGCAACAGTTTGCTCATTTGATTTTTGGAAAACCCATTGTCTGTGGTATGGCCATCTGCATGTAAGGGCTTTTCTGCATTACCCAATTCATCAGTTGGATGCAAGTTGTCCCCAGATTCTGTTACTTGGTCATCTGGGTTGACATCGGAAAGTAAATCTGACACGTGAATTTGAGAATTGTGCGTGTCATCTGACTTTGAGGAGCGATTCAGCAACTCTACTTGCTCCCTTGGAGTTCTTTCTGAATAATAAACTCTTTCAGGAAGTGGAGGAGGATGAAGACAACTCAAATCAATTGCATTGGTGTGGGAATCAACATAAGCAGGAGCAAATGCACTGCTAGAAGTAGAAGAGAACTCTTCATAATCCTTGTGCTGAACCTTTTTTGTTGAAGGCAATGAAGGTAGATGTCCCTCAGACATGGTAACTACAACCGATGCTTCAGGAAAATTACTTTTTAAGCAATTATCAGATGTTTGTAAGGGAGCTGGCGACGGGGTTTCTGAGGATAAAACATCACTCCCTTGCTTAACTGAATTATCACTTATCTTTTTCATCTGCACGGTAGGTAATTGAGAATTTTGCATTTGTAATCCACTCGGTATATGGTCTTCATTCAGAACCCCTTGTTGATTGCTAAGAAGGTGAGGAGCCATAGGAGTCTCTCCAGCAACAGGGTTATGACTGGAATTAAGGCCATGGTGAACAAAATATTGTCGACTATATTCCCCAACTTGAGCCATTTGGTCACCATAAGATAGTTGATCAATTTCATACAAATTTGAGGCATTTGGTAGAACTGCTTGTGAAGAACGAATAGTCAATGAAGGGTCGGATTTGTTAGTCAAAGGAGCATTGCTGGGACCTAAAGATTCTACAGCAGCTCTATTACTCTCTCTCTCTGAAGTTTTCCTTTCCAATTCATGGAGATCATCTGCTGAAAAACTGACACCAAGTGGGGTTGAGCTGTTTATTGATCCAAAGTCCATGCCATTAACAGCAACAACATATTGGACCTCAGAGTCATCATTAATACTGCTGAGAGAAATGTGAGCATCTTCCAAATCACTCATTGAGAACAAAAACAGCCTAAGCTTTTGTGAGCGCTCTCTATCTTCAAGAAGATTACATTCCTCCATCATATTCTGCAAATCCTCATCAGATGATACTGATACCAAAGCATCGAGATCTTCCCCAGGAAGTTGATATTTTAGTACATGAACCAGATTATAGATTAACAATGCTTTCTGCATAAGCTCCTGCCAAGATATGTCCTTTCTTAGACGAAGAATACGAGTTTGACCTCCAACATACCTTAGCTTCCCATCACTTGGTCGTGGTAATATTCTGCCACCAAAGCTACAAAGACACTTCATCATTGATGTGCTGTCAGAACCAACAGAAGCACCATACCCACGTACAAGTCGACTATTCTCCTGATTCAGTGAAGCTCTTGGTATTGATCGAATTGACCCATAGCTTCTGTCTCCATGTAATGACGTACTCTGTCTGTTAAACTCTGTTGGACCTTTCTCAGCTTTTGATAGCATAGAAATCTCTGATCCACTTTCAGAAGCAGCATGGCTGATGCCTATGATGCCTTTCTGTTCCATGCAACCAGTTGCATAATTGGAACTGGAATCACTAACATTTGAAAATACAGGCTTCCTAAGAGTCACCCTATCTCTCATGAATTCAAAAGCAAATTCCTCACCCGTTTGTATTGAATAATTGAGTACCGGTTTAACATCTGATGCGCTATAGTCAGATGGTCGTCTGATAGTATGCATGCCATCCATGTGATCCTGAATTACTGATTGAGATCCAGGCTGGAACTCCTCATTTCTAGTTTCCATGGTATTGCATTGAAGGTGCTTGTAGAATCTAGACTGATCCATTATGACATTGCTTTTAACTTCTTAAGAGAATAATTCATCAAGAAGCCAAATAAAAATAAGTTCAAGACTTCCAGTAATACTTGGACACCATATAAATATGAGACGAATTGAAACTTCCAAGATAAGACCAACTCCTTTGCACCAATAAAACAAAACTTAATTGTACAGCAGTGGCCCTGTGAAAACAATGGAATCAAGGTAGGTAATTTAAGCTTTGAATTGAAATGCAAAAATATAGTCACTACAGATGGAAACAAATGAATAACACCTCTATGCTCAACTATAAATGCCAAGTTACATATTGATAACCTGGATAACTGGCTAAAAGATAACATTAATTTTTATTTTTTATGTAATGCTAATTAATAAAGAGACATAAGCAACTTCAGTTTTTGAGACAGAATAGAGAATTTTGGCCCGTAGAACAAGGTTATTTGGTGGAAAACTCTAGCTTCCTTTTCATGGCTAAAGGACCGTTATGTCTCTCATATGTGACCATTATCAAACTCTCTCTCTCTCCCACAGGCACACACAACACATTTGATAACCAATCTTCATTCGGGAATGACTAGTATGACTATACATCAATGTCACGTATGCAAAATGGCAAGTGGAAAATTGCTGTGCAAGTTCATTAAGTCCTAAATAAATTGAGCACACACATATAGTCCAGCAAAAGGAAACTTGTAATCTCAGCAGCCAATTTAGCCCATCTAATTTTGTGTAATGAATTTCATTACCATAATATATTTTGAGGATCTCAACACACCACACAGACACATGATCATCTTAGCTCCTTCAATCTAATCTTTTACCATCAAAGCAAAACGCGGAAAAAACTTATAACAGAACATGAGAATTAATCTAGATACCTGATGAAAAGGGAAAAACCCGTCTTTGAGTTTGCTGAAGTTGAAAAGGGCAAAGATTGAAAATAAAAAGTTAAGAAATTTGAACCAGAAACAGAGGTTTCAGGGGAAAATGAAAAAAACCCACTTCAGGTTTCTCTCGCTTTCGCCCATTACGCTATCTCTTCAGTGTTTGCTCCTGCCTCGACCCTTTTTCCCGGAAAATGACGGCGCTTTCTCTTTCTCGCTCTAGAAAACAGAAAACTCCCTCTCTAAATTTTTTTTCTATCCACGGTTGCCGAACATAGTTTAGGATATTTCATTGAGTTACAAAACTACCCTTCCGTGTTTGTGGTCACTACTGCTATGCCATCAGCTACTGTGCCCTGACAACTACCATATTTGTTTGTAATGAACTGCAACTAAAAGAAAATGGTTTCTTTCTTCTTCTTTTTTAATATTTTGTAAGTTATTAAAAATAATTAAATACTATATAATTTTTTAAGATAATAAAATAAAATAATTAGCATATATTTTTAATGTAGTTATTTATTTTATCTACATAAAATAAAGAATTTTATTATTATTATTATTATTCTCATCGATTCAAATAATAATTTTATATTCATTTTATTTTTCTTTTTTATTATTCTTATTTTTATAATTCTATTTATTTTAATATATTTACAAGTTTTATATTACTATAAAAAAAATTGATACTAGTGATAATATATATATATATATATATATATATATATATATATATATATACATATATATTCTTAACTTACTTAGATACTAAAAAAAAATCTTGTACAATATTAGATTACACGATATCTTTATCTTTATGCTTTTAAGTCCAATTTAACTTCATTTATCACTCTCGTGTTAAAATATTGGATCATATGATAGAAGTACATGAAGGGAATGTTTATCACATAAGCTTACCAAGAATGCTTATCTTCTTGGTGGATCTCTTCAACCTGCCACACAATCTACCTCAACATTGCTTGCAACAAAAGACAAAAGGTGAAGTAAAAAACACTACCTACTCAACCTCCACCTCCAAATAGGCATTGATCTTGACATTCACAATGAAGAAAACATTTGTAAACTTCTAAGAAGGAGAAGATAAAATCACACGTGCATCACAAACCTATTTTCAACTAAGTTGGAGAAAAAGAAAAATAAGTATTTAAAAAATCTTATTTTTATTTATGAGTAGTATCTTAATCAAACAAAGCATTAAACTTTATTATTGAATGATATACTCGAATTGTTCCGATTGATTGGAAATCGATTTAAAAAGTGATTTATTATTTTTAGATAATCAAATTTTAATTAAATTAAGATAAAAAAATTAATTGAATTTTTAGATCCAAACCAATTTAGTAAAAAATAATATTAAATATTTTTAATTTTTGTATAAAATATATAATATATTTTTATTTTATTTTATATTAATCACGTCAGTTTTAAATAATAATTATTTTATTATATTTATTTTATTTTAATAATTATTTAATTTACATTTTTAAATATATTTTATATTTATAATTTTCATTATAATTTATAGTAATTATAATATTAATACTTAATTTTTTTCTTTTATAAAAATAATTTTATTAATAAATTATTATATTATAAAAATATTATTTTATTAAATTGAATTATATAAAATTAAATTTTTAAACATAAAAGAATGTATATTAGAATGATATAAATAATTTAGGATCAATTTAAAAAGAATAAACAAAAAGAAGACAAATTATTTTTATAAATTATGTATGCAATTAACACTGTTATGTTATTGTCGTGAAAACAAGTAAATTAATTTTAAAATTCTACCTTGATTAGTTTAGGGATTAAGATTTTCAACTCGTCATGTTAAAAATTAAAACAATATTATTTAATTATTACTAATTCAAACACGATTCATGTTAAATTGTTAATTTATGAAATATTTCTGTCACCATATTAATATCTGGTTCAATTCTGGAAACTTTGTCCTGAACATTTTAAAGAAGAAAATGGAAATATTTAAAAATATTAAATATTTTTTTAGTGAATTATATATTAAATATTTTAAATATATATACTAAATTATGCATAGTAATTTAGTAAATCAATACCTAAGACTATTAAAAAATGTTCTTATATTCTTTACTACTTAAATCCATTTTTTATCATCGTAAAATTTTAAAATTAACAATTGTTGTTCAATACAATATCTTATCTAATTTCTAAAAAACCTTTTTTCATACTAATAATCTTAAAACTGATAATTAAATATTATTATTAATATTTTATATGAATAAGTAAATAATATTTTTATAGTTGACCACACAGGACTTTTTTTTTAAAATATAAAAACATAAAATAAATTAGAATTACATAACGTTAAAAGAGAGACTGAATGAATGCGTTATAAACTTTTATAACAATTAAAATTATACACATTCATAACATTATGAGAGAAAAAAAAATTTATTTATTTTGTTTGACTTTGGTTTTGTGCAATCAATATAAGAAATAAATTAAAATTTACAATCTCTGCATAATCCAACATCTGATCGCGTGGCCTAATGGATAAGGCGCTCGCCTCCGGAGCGGGAGATTGTGGGTTCGAGTCCCATCGCGATCGATTTTAGTGAACAAATAATAATTTTATATTAATAATAGATTTATAATTTCTGATAGTCTCAACTTTAGGAATTAATTTGTTGGTTATTTTTTTTTAAGAACTTCCTAAAGTTTCGACGAGCCCTCAAAAGGCTCGTTACTTCAATTAGTCTTCATGTTCTTCAAATGAATTTCTTAATTGTTACGAGAGTTATCCAAAGGCAATATATAAAGCATATCCAGCAAAACTTACAAGTAAATCAGATATATAGATGATAATTAAGGTTGGTGTTTCCATTTTTCTAATCATAAATTTTTCCCCCTTTTTTCTTTCCTTCATTAGGTTAAATTTTGTTTGTAATTAGATCAAATTTGACCCACCCCAATTTAACATAATTTGGTAATGTAAGATGTTTTGTATGTTCAATTCAAAATTTAATACACTTCATTAAGTTCAAATTATTAAATATTTCAATAATAATAAGAATATATTTATTATTTTGTTATTCTATCATTATATTAATTAAACATATATTTTTGAAATATTACATTATTAAATTACTTAAATAAGAAATAGTTTAGTCTATTTAAAGTATAATATTCTAAAATTTTAAAAAAATATATTTTAAAATTAAAAAAATTAATAACAAGTATTATATAAAAATTTATAACCTAAATAACTGAACCTAATAAAAAATTAAGCAGGATTGAATTTGATCAAATAAAAAATATAAAAATCCAATTCAACCTAATCAATTTTTTTATTATTAAATTGAATATGGATTTAAACAAAATCGACCGGTGTCCAATGTTAAGAGGTGTTTGAGCGTTTATTTGGATCATACGACGGAAAGTTGACTATGGTAGATTTGCAAAGAAACTTAATTTTTTAAGTAGAAAATGTACCATTCCCAACAAAAAAAAATCTTACATTGATAAGAAGAAAGCCGGGAAAATCTACATTATATTATATATAATATATAAATAATAATAATAATTTAATAATAAAAATTATAATAATTATAATTATAATTATAATAATAATAATATTAATAATTAAAATAAAAATAAGTAAAATAATTATACCATTTTAAATTATATTAATAATAATTTTTATTTAATATATAATTTAGTTATTTTTAATTTTTTATTAAAATAATTTTTTTATCATTTATATCAATCAATTCCCTATCAAATTTTTATAAATTTTTATTCTCATTTTTTTTTCAATTTTTTATTATTTTTCTTTTAATCCAAACACTCCTCTTTCCACCAAATTATTATTTTTCACTCCTTCCAAACCATCTTCTAATCAAAACACATAATTAGAGTTTTGTTGAAAGTTGTATTATATTATACAATAGGAAGTATAATTGCTAATATCCAAATGCAACTTTAACCACTTATCATATAGCTACTTTAATTGGATGTTACAACTTAATTAAGGATACAACTCCATTACCAATATCAAAATACAACCTTAGTTCTGCATCACATTGTTGAATCATTGTTCAATGGAAGAAATGTAGA